CCACAGGGAGAAATTTGGCTTCGTGGACCTACAGTTACACCAGGTTATTATAAAAATGAAAAAGTGACCAAAGAAACATTTACAGAAGATGGATGGCTACAAACAGGAGATATTGGAGAGTGGAAACCAAACGGAAGCCTATCAATTATTGACAGAAAGAAAAATTTAGTGAAATTAGCTCATGGTGAATACATTGCGCTTGAAAAATTGGAATCAGTTTACAAATCAACCTTATTTGTATCCAATCTTTGTGTTTGTGCTGACTCGTATCAGTCACGTCCTGTAGCTTTAATTTTTCCTATTGAAGCACGAATCAGAAAACTTGCAAAGGAAAAAAACATAACTGAAACAGATTTTGAGAAGCTATGTCAAAATAAAGAAATAACAAACTCAGTACTTCAAGCTTGTCTCATCGAGGCAAAGAAAGCAGATTTTAAACCCGCAGAATTGTTATCTGCAGTTACATTAGTGCATGAAGAATGGACAGCTGAAAATGTAATTAAGAAAAATATCAAAATTGTCATCGTTATTAATGTTATTAATTGTTTGTTATATTTATATTATTGCATTTTTATTTTTTTAAATAGGGACTTTTGACAGCAGCACAAAAAATTAAACGTAGGGATCTTCAACAAAAATACCAAGATGATATTGATAGAATGTATGGTAAAAAATAAAAGATACCTTATTTAAAACTTGTATAATGTATTTATTATATTTATTAATTTAATGCACAGAAATAAAATCAACTAATTAATATATTTGTTATTATTATTTGACTGTGCAAAATACATCATTTCAATATATATGATTAATTGATTAACTATGACACAATGGAGATTAGTTACGAAGTGATACTGATCTATGACCATTTTTAGCTTAGAAATCATCATATCAGCCGATTTGGTTTTTTGGGCCTTTTTTCAAACCTTATGTCTTATTATGTCTTGATGTTAAACACGAGTATTTTTAATGTGTAAACTGATCAGTAGAATGATAATTAACCCTAAAAAAAGAAATTGTCCGCTAAAAAAACTATTTTACTATTCAACAACCCGTCAAACCAATGGTCCCACCTCAAAACCAAT